TTCTCGTCGATCAAGTTAAGTTGATCAAGTCGGGTCTGAATCCAATCGTCTTCACTCAAACGGCATCCTTCATAATCCTCAAGGAAGGAATCTGAACTTCATGGGTAGAACAACTTCCATGCCATATACCAAAGAATGGGGTTGCCCCTGTTGAAGTACGTGCCGTGGTACGATATCCATGCAGAGCAAACGGTAACATCTCATGCCAGTCCTTGTAGGTGACTGTCATCTTTTGAATGATCTTCTTGATATTTTTGTTCGCGGCTTCAACAACACTGTTCATCTTCGGCCGGTAGGGAGATGAATTGTGATGATAAATCTTGAAATGTTCGCATAGAGCGGTGATCATAGTGTTGTTTAAATTTGTACCGTTATCCGTGATAATCCTGTCGGGGATACCGTACCGGCATATGAGATTATGCTTAATGAAGTGGGCAACCACATTCTTTGTAACAGAGGCGTAGGAAGCTGCTTCGACCCACTTGGTAAAGTAATCAATAGCGACCAGGATGAAGCGATGTCCATTGGATGCTGTAGGCTTGATCTCTCCAATCATGTCAATGCCCCACATTGCGAATGGCCAAGGAGCTGTCAGAACGTTGAGAGGAACAGAAGGAATATGTACCTTGTCGGCATAGACTTGGCATTTGTGGCAGGTGCGGGAATGTTGATGACAATCAGCTTCCATGGTAGACCAGTAATAGCCTTCCCTTAGAATCTTCTTAGCCATCGCATGTCTGCTCAAGTGAGTGCCAAATGTGCCACTATGTATTTCGGTCACAATCAACTCTGCTTCAACCTTGTCCACACAACGAAGTAGAACACAATCATGGCTGCGCTTATAAAGGATGCCATTGCTTAGGAAGAACTTGGAAGCAAATCTCCTTAAGAACTTTTTATCATTGACTGAATCTCCTTCAGGATATTCTCTAGTCTGGAGATACCTTTTGATTTCATAAAACCAGGGTTGTTCCACTACTTCTTCGGTGTTAATCTCATGACAGCGCGCAGGTTCGTCCATTCGTTCAATGGTGATTTTGGGAGCCTCGTTATCCCAGTTGAGTTTAAACATGGAAGACATTGTAGCCAGAGCATCGGCTAACTGATTTTCTTCTCGCGGGAAATGCTCGAAGGTAATCTGCTCGAAATGAGGCAACAATGTCAAGACATGTTCTTTGTATGGGATAAGATTGGGATGTTTGGTGTCCCATTCTCCTTTGACTTGACTGATAACCAAAGTCGAGTCCCCAAATACGACCAAAGATTTGATTCCCAAGTCTATTGCAGCCTTGAGACCAAAGATGCAAGCTTCATATTCAGCCATGTTGTTGGTACAGCTGAAGCAAAGTCGGGCAGTGAAGGGTGTATGGAAACCTTCCGGAGAAATGAGTACCACACCGATACCGTTGCTAAGTGCATTCGAAGCACCATCAAAGTACAGGGTCCATCGGGATCCTTGTTCAAGTCCGTCATACAGTCTGTTACCTTCAATGTTGTCCAATGTCATGGTGTCCCTCTTCAGGGAAATCGAATCTCATAGATTAGTAATCTTCGACGGCTTGATGAGCTAGATGGTCAGCTAGTACACTCCCCTTTATAGCTTTTTGGGTAGTATAATGGATATCATACTCAGTCAGGATCATTTGCCATCTAGCGATTCTTCCAGATAAAGCAGGGCTTCTCGAAGATATACTTGATCGGATCCATTTTGGAAATCAGCAGAGTGGTATGAGTCCACATATACTGCCTTAGCCGGCGAGCAACCCATACCAAAGCGCAGCAAGTTTTCTCGAGCAGTGAGTAGCGAGTCTCACAGTCGGTAAACTTTTTGCTAAGGTAATAAATGGCATGCTCTTTTCGGCCAGACTCGTCATGTTGGCCTAGTACGCACCCCATTGAGTTATCCAAGACAGTCAGATACATGATTAACGGCCTTCCTTCGACGGGTGGCATCAAAATAGGTGGTTCCAATAAATACTCCTTGATCTTATCAAAAGAAAATTGACAATCATTGTTCCATTCAACTACCTGATCTTTCTTCAACAATTTGAAAATTGGCTCACAGGTAGATGTCAGGTGAGAGATGAACCTCGCAATATAGTTTAAGCGTCCCAAGAATCCTCTAACCTCCTTTTCAGTGCGGGGGGTAGACATTTCTTGTATAGCCTTTACTTTAGATGGATCAACCTCAATGCCTTTGTTGTTGACAATAAATCCCAAAAGTTTACCAGACCTTGTTAGAACATAGTTTGATTCTACAACCCTTAATTAGAGTTTTGATGATAACAAAATACAAGAATAAATAAATTCAAAGATATACATATAGAACAAATATGCTACTTAAAATTATGTTGTGTATACAGAAGTTCTGATGGAATCAGCATCAGAAGCATCAGAAGCATCAGAAGATCAGTAATATGCCAGCATCAGAAGATCAGTAACATGTGCTACACGCTGAAGCTACCAGATCATACGCTGAAGCTTGATGACCAGAATCTGCGCTTAAACATATACACTCTGATTCTTATCAAGATCCTTACCAAGTCATCAGCACTCAGAAGCGTCAGGATAAGTTAAAGCAAAGAACACTCTGATTATCATAAAGAAGACTCTGAAGCGTTACTAAGTATTCAAGACAGATTAATTGCTAACGGCTCTCTTCAAGACAAGATCTTCTCAAAAAGGAAAGAACGTAATTATCATTGAAAGTGATTTATGGACAACAACGTATCTTTGCCTTGGATATATAAACAAGTCTGTGTGAGAAAAGAAAACGCTATCTACACGCACGCACTCATACATTTTGCTAAGCCTTCAACCCCGCTTACTCAAACGCATTAGCAATCCAGTTTCATTCTAAGCTTAAATTTGTGTATTATCACAGTTGTGGTATACTGTTTTATTAGAAAACATCAAACACATTATTTTTTCAATTATTTGTAAAGAGATTTCCTTGAGATAAACCGGTTTGTGGTTATACTCAAGAAGGCTTTAACAGTTGTTTAAAGTGACTGTGTAATCCTTTGATTATAGTGGATTAAGACCTCGTTGGAGAGAGGCGAAATCACTTTGACGGGTGGACTGTAGTAGTTTGAGATCAAACGAACCAGGATAAAAATACAGTGTTGTTTAAGCTTTTGATTTAAGTTTTACAATACAACCCCCCTTCTTGTGTTTTTCACATCTTCAATTGGCATCAGAGCGCCTGGTTCTGAGCTTATAACACTTAACCGTGTCAGTACAAGATCCAGCGTCAGAAAAACACAATGGCAGGACCAAATCAAAACATCAGCAATGACAACAATGAAGAAAGAGACAGATTCAGTGGCAAACCTCCAGTCTTTGATGGAGAGAACTTTGACTACTGGAAAGACAGAATTGAGAGTTTCTTTCTGGCCTATGATGCTGATCTGTGGGACATGGTGAGTGATGGATACCACGCACCCAGTGGATGGAAGTGGTCAGAAGATTAACAGGAAAACAATGTCTGATCAGCAAAAGCGTGATTTCAGAAATCATCACAAAGGCCAGAACAATTCTTCTCAGCGCCATCTCTTATTCAGAATATGAAAAGATATCAAACAGAGACACTGCAAAGAATATGTTTGACTCTCTGAGAATGACGCATGAAGGCAACATTCAAGTCAAAGAAACCAAAGCCCTTGCACTCATTCAGAAGTATGGGGCATTCAAGATGGAAGAGAGTGAATCAATAGAGACTATGTTTTCAAGATTTCAAATTCTTGTTGCTGGTCTAAAAGTTCTTGACAAAGGTATTCCACTACTGATCATGTTAAGAAGATCATCAGAAGCTTGCCAAAACAGTGGAGGCCAATGGTCACAACACTTAAGCTAGCCAAGGATCTCAACAAAATCTCTCTGGAGGAACTTGTCAGCTCCATCTTTTGGCTGTTTTCTTAAGTTCAAATTTTATTTCTAGTCTTTACTGTAAAATTTTGAAACTACTACATCCATACCAAATTTATTTAATTTGCATTGTTGTTTTTCATTTTCTGATAAGTACAAGTGGATAATGAAACCCTTAAACTACATATAATAATGAAAACATGTCTTACCTTTCTGGTATAACCAGCCTTCTCAATGGTATCGATTGTAAAACAAGTCCCTCTGTGTTATCCTGAACATTTGGAGAAAATCCTCCTTAGTCACCAACGTTAGAAGCATCTTGTTCATGCTTTGCCTTGATTATGCCCTTTAATATATTATTTTATAGGACATATAACCATATTAAACTGCAATCACATCGGTTGATCAATAGACTGATTTTTAAAACATTGATATACATATAAATTCTGAAACACACATTCTTAGTGTGATTGCAGTCCTAAGGAATTAAGTTTTCTTACCTTCACTGCCCATGCGAAGCGCCTCACCAAAAAAAGAAGCTCTAACTCAGAGAGAGAGAGAGAGAGAGAGAGAGAGAGAGAGAGAGAGAGAGAGAGAGAGAGAGGAGAGAGAGAGAGATGAGAGATGAGAGAGAGAGGAGAGAGAGAGAGAGGAAAAGCGGAGAGCGAGAGAGATAAATAGATAGATAGAGAGAGAGAGAGAGAGAGAGAGAGAGAGAGAGAGAGAGAGAGAGAGAGAGGGAGAGAGAGAGAGAGAGAGAGAGATCATGTATATGTATTAATAAGAGATTTGCAATTGAAAAACATCTTTATACCTAACATAAATTGGACATCCACCTATTGAAGAAATATACACCTGAAGAACAAGTTCTATTATATTAAAATTTATGATCGATTTAGTCGTACTTACATGGAATCTTTTCCAATCCGGTTGCATAAACTCTCCCAGATAAGGGGAGTTGTATGCAACAGATGAAATATGAAGTTTTGTCAAAAGAAACCCTCTCCGTGCTTGGCAGTATCTGTTCGAATTAGATTTTTAGCTGCAAGATGAGAAAACAAAAAATATAAGATAGAATCCACCAAAAATGGTAAAGAAATAAACCAGTAACTGAAATATAATCCTTACCGCCTTCAAAGACTGGAAGACCAAGACATGCCATTTGGGAATGGCTTTGCCAGTTGGAATCCATACGACTCGGCTATAGGCAGAACAGATTTCACAACATCTTCATTCTCAATTTGATTTATTGAACATGTACTGTATACAATTCTTTCCAAAGCTGAAACTGCCAAAGAAACCATTCTTTTAAGTACTTAAGGAACAAAATAAAATAGAGTTGGCAATGAGTAACAAACTAACTCAGAAAGTCTTGATAAATTTGACCAAGACTCTCGGCAGAGTAAACATGAGTTCCATCTTTTGGCTGTTTTCCTTAAGTTCAAATTTTATTTCTAGTCTTTACTGTAAAATTTTGAAACTGCTACATCCATACCAAT